ATGGGGGGACAGGGAGCTGTGTATCGGGAGTAAGGGACACTGGTGGGGCTGGGAGCTGTGGGTCAGTAGCATGGTTGGAGGGGGAACCGAGGGGCAGGGCTACTGTGGTCTGGCTTGGGACAGGCCATGAACCTTTGAAAATGGGTCCTGGTAGGAAAAAAGTTGAGAACCGCTGGTCTAGAAGATCCCATTAAGTATCTCTGTGATGCTTAGTTTCACTTCTCAAACTCTGGATTTGTCTCCAGAAATCATAGGCTGATTAAGTTCTTTGGGTAGATGGGATTATCTTTTATTAGGCCATTTTTTTTTGTTAGCTGAAAAAAATGTTCTTTGCAAACTTTTAGGCATAGGGAGAGTTTGTCTTCAGAGATAACATCCTTGTTAAACAGCAGTATGTGGAGATGAGAGACGACAGACCTGATTACCCACCCATCAGCCCTGTTGTGTCTCTGTACATTTGTATACACAGTCAGGCCCTTACCTTTCTCTAAAAGTGCAAAGTTTCAGGAAGTGAAATGAATAAAGGATATCAAACAACAAGAATGCACTTTTTTTTAGAAAACAATAATTAAGTCGAGGCTTCCTGACCAAGTGATTTAAATTGTGATTTAAAGCTATTTGATTTAAATCCAAATCCACCCTGGCCAGAGGCATCCTTCCCTGGCTTTAACACAGCTATTATATGGGCTTGTTGCCATAGTTTGGGTATTCTAAAGGTTGAACAACTGTTAAAAAGGCATAATACCCATAACACTAAATCTAATGGAAATCTGAAGTAAAGAAGACCTATGTGGTTCTCCTTGTTCTTCAATTCAGGCAGTCTACTTTAGCATTTTTTTAATTAACTTTACAAATACTGAGGCACCTTTCACATTTTTATGTTGAGTCAGGAAATATAAAATGTAAGGCTAATACAGAAATGTTAACTCTGCTTTCCACATTTCCTTAGCAAATGCTCGAACACCAATATATTAAGGTTGTCATCTAGCAAAGCCTAAATGTGTGTGCATGACAAAGTATAGACACTCTTTCTTTCCCCCCACACCCAGTGTTTCTGTACAAAGAGTGCACTGAAGGGACCTGAACCTGATTAGAGTGACAGGTACTATTGTGCTGTTGTCTCAGATTTAAAAAAAAATGCTTCTGTAGTGACTAACCTTCAGTTTACTTTTTACATCCTTGGGGCAGGGAAGGGATGAGACATTTGAAAGGGGGGTAGAATGATCACTGGTGCACTAATTGGAGACACTGATGTCTTGTGTGACCACTTTAACCTCACCTTTATCTGAGCACTTAAATGTGTGCTACTAATTATTTCTACAAAGACTGCTTTTTGCCTTCGTGTGCTTGAAGGACTTACTCCCTACCAGAGTAAGGGTATGTCTATACTGGACAGATGGATTGGGCACTTGGCACTAGACTAGAGCAAGGACAGTCGAGCTTTTTAATCTTCTAGCCATAAACCAAAATATTTATATGGGTGAGGACTATAGTACATGTGATTTTTGAGATATGCATACCCTAGAGCTGATGATCTGTGCTGTAGCACAGAGGATAACTTAATCGACAACTTAGAGGAAATGAGCAAGAATACTGAGTAACAAGCCGAGGATAAGTTTGGCATTTTTAATTACTGCGGATTTGTTGTCCCTGCACTAGAAGTCTGAGCAATTGGGCTAGCTTAAACTGACCACGAGCATTTCCACAACAAATGCTACTTGTGTTTTCTGGGTCTAGGTCCTCGCTGTATATGGATTCCCCTAAGGTTTTGTGTCCCTTGGTTCTTTATACAGATCCTCTCATGTTCTGTCTTGGCCTGTGGCAGACCTTGTTTTTTTTGTGGAACTTGAGACTAAACTCAAGAGAACGGTTATCACCTTGGGTGATCTTAACCTGCATCCACTGCACAGTGGGCAGATTCCAGGTTAAAGCAAAAAACAACTCATTTTTTAATATAGACTCCCAGCCATTTGGACAAGCATGGGTTTTAAGTATAAATATACATTTATTTAGGTGTTTTAGGTATGGATTATCAAGGATTTGGACAAAAGTGTTGTCTTGGGCTGTGTTCTTACAACAGAGACAGCTATAAGATGGGGTTGATATTCCTCTCCTTTTTTCCTTCCTCTTCCTCTCCTTTTTTCCTTCTTCTTCCAGGGGGTAAGACTTGCTTCTTAGGCAGGTACTTGTGTGTGTTTGCTCAACCGCGTATTTCAGACCTCCTCTGGCTTGGATGTAAAGTCCCAGAGCCTGGGAAGATTGAACTAAACTTGGAACCATTTGAACACTCTTCAGAAGAGGGATTTAAAAACAAAACAAAACAAAAAAAAGAGTAGGGGACTTGGGCATTGCCTGCAAGACAAGGCGACGCAAGGCTATACGTGAGATCAAGATTTTAACTGTGTTTGTGTAAAAGGTTGTGGAGAAAGCAGAATGTATGCACCGATCATAGAAAAGTCCTGGCTCCTTGAACTTGATGTGCAATTTTAGTTTCTAATTTTTATTAGTAAAAGCTGTTGACAGTGTAAGCAGCACCTGAAATAGAAATAGGTAAAAGAATGCACCAAGTTGGGAACATACGTGTTGAGCTACATAAACATTTTAGCTTTTACTTTTATTCCTTTTGGTCCCTCTTCTCAATTTGCAGTGTTCTTATGGTCTTTTAAAATATTTTTCTTTGCAGCTGTAATGATAACCTATAATGTTGTTGTTTTAAGCCACAGTCACAAGTTCTAAATGGGTATCTAGTTTCTTCCATGTTATCCCTTTCCTCTTGCACACCATTACTTGACCCCTCCATCCCCCATATAACTTAAGTTTTTAATTCCAGAAAATCTAGACTGTTTTTTAATTCAAGAAAAGTACATACTTATAAAAATTCCAAACTTATTTTTAAATGTGTATTTTTCTAGTTTTTAAAAAATGATTTGTGTGCGTTTCTCTGAAGACTATCTACATGTCAGTTTCAAGTGTAAGAATAATTGTTACTCAGCCAGAAAAATGAATTTTTTGTTGTTGGAAAGTTTAACTTCTCCATTCCCTCAGCATGCACTCAAATGATAAAGGATTTTCCTTAAGCTTAATAGAATTGACTTTTGGGCATAAGCTAAGAATATATTTTTGAGCCCAGAAAAAGGAATTGCAATAGCTTTCATTCAGGAAACTTTAGCTATGGTATGTGGCTTCAATCAAATGCAATGATATGCTGACTTAAATTTCTCTGTGTTGTGTGTCGTCCCCCACCCCCAGTTTTATTTAAGTTTTTGTTTTGTTTTTAAGTTTGAATGTAGAGTATTAGAAAAGCTCAAGTGATGCCATTGGTAAGGAATTGTCTGGTATAAATCAAGTTAAGTGACCACTTTTAGCAAACAGATGTATATTTTTAATGAGCAGCCTTGTTACTGGTCTCTGCAGAGTTTAAAACATGGAATGGATCGGAAACTAATTCCCTCTTTACAAAGCTATACCTGGTCAGGTTTGAAGAAAAGCTTTTACTGTCCAAGTTCTGTTCTTGAAATTTCCTTTACCAACTGACTGAACTTTATTTGAATGAGTAACACAGAAGTGAGTCTAAATTACGAGCGTATAAAATGAGTAAATTGCTCTTTCATTTAATTGCAAGGTCCTGAGTTCAGGGTTCTCTCCTCTTGCAGAAAAGTTCAGACACTCCGTAAGCAAAACTAGGGAGTTAAATGTATTCTGTATATTGCTCAATTTTTAGTTGTTTGGGCTCAGTTGCTAAACCTTTATTCTGTCAAACCCTTGGATGCTTGACTAACAAATTAAGGGTAATGCCTGGCTGGTTGGGCAAGGAAGCATTCTGCCAATAGCAGTGTCTTTTATACTGCTTGTGACTTTACATAGAATTAGAGGGACTCAGATTAGTTAGTGAGTAATCTTATGGGAAAAATTGAGGAGAAAAGCAAATGCAGAGGTGAACTGAACAAAAACTACTAAAGTTAATTAGGCTTTGCTGGTTTATCTATGGTGTCAAAATGGTCTTTGGTATTAAAACGTATCCTATGTTCTTATTTTCTGCAGATCTTCAAGTGCTGACTTTTCTGCTCCCTTTTAAGTTATTAACTTTTGCTGCTCTGTGAACACGTGAAGATGTCTCGCAGCCCAGATGCTAAGGAAGACCCTGTGGAATGCCCCCTTTGCATGGAGCCTCTGGAGATTGATGATATCAATTTCTTTCCTTGCACCTGTGGCTACCAAATCTGTCGCTTCTGTTGGCACCGTATCCGCACTGATGAGAATGGACTTTGTCCTGCTTGCAGAAAGGTAAATATCCTGGAATGACTACTTGCCTTGCAAGTGTCACAAGGGTCTTTCTTTGGGTTAGTACATAATACACATTTACATCGGAGAACTGCATTTCAAATCCATGGTTTAGATCAAAACCAAGCTGCTGATTTGTTTGGAACCTGTGTTCATATTAAAACCCTTGCACAACCTTGATAACTCGGAACTGGATTAGCAGTGAAGGCTGTGTCAGGGCTGAAGCATGTTGGTATTCACAGAGCTGTTAAAGGAGAACTAATACATTTGGGAATCTCGATTGTGGAATACTGGCATAACTGTTTTATGACGGGTGATTAAAGATTGCAGCAGCTGGGTATGGCACAGTAGAAGTTGGGGTATGGTGGCAGAGCTGTATGGTGAGGGGAGTTTATAAAATACCTGCCTGTGCTGTGCCTGTGGGACCTAAGCTGCTAGTCCTTTGCTTTTTATGGATCTCAGACTGGTGAAAAAATATATCTTATACCCCCAAAAGCTTTTAAAAACCTGCAGCCCTTGGTTGGAGTGCTTGATTGAAGATACTGCATATCTTGCACTCTTGCCCCAGAAGCTCAGAACTGTTCCTTTTACGTACCATTTAAACAAATTCATCCAGTCTCTCTACTTGCATCTCTTAACTGATGTTTTGGTTATCCTGCTACCTTGATAAACCCCTTCCCCTCTCGCCCCCTTTCCCCCATCTGAACCCCCCACCTGAACTTTAACTTCACTAACTTCCTGGTGTCCCAGGGCCAGGATTGTAGCATCTGACTTGTTGCTCTCTCCCCTGCATGTAGTTTTTAGTTTAAAATCCTGTTGCTTCCTTCTTTTTTCCACTTTACTCTTCCCTCTGTGTCCCCATCTCTGAAGTCATAGGTGGTGATTTCATCTCCAGTCTCTTTGCTTTGCTTCTCACCTTTTTCCCCCCTATTGAAACCCACCTGTTTGAAGTCCCTTTCCTCTTGATGTTTTTAAACATGACCCTATCTTCAGTGAATACTTTTGTTTGCTTTCTGTCTCTTACAACATCCAATTCCAGCTCCTTTTCTAGACCTTAAGTAATGTTGCTTTCCCTGAACCTCTGCACTAATTGCCACACTCTACCATAAGCACCATTAGTCCTTTTGCTGTGTGCCTGAGCCACCTGGTTGACACTAGGGAGATTTTACAAACCAGCAGTTGAGACCTTTCAAGAAAACCTGGAATGCACCACGTATAATGCCACATAAAATTATTACCAGTGATGCACAAAAACTGTGTGTACTGCTTTGAGTGCGACTTTCTGCAAGGAAGACCTGAGTAGTGTCATCAGCCACCAGAGCAGTCTCCACCAGTGCAATGTAAGTGCCAGCATGACAATGTGAATAGTACAACTGATTCCTCCTGCTACTTACATGGTCTGTTTAGATTTTAACTTCTCTACTCTGCTGGCTCAAGGGCAAGGGGGTTTTTGTGTGGTTTTTTTGTTTGTTTGTTTTTTTTCCCTTGGAGTTCCTTTGCCTGCACATATCACTTCACACCTGGGATCTTACTGCATATTACTTCTCTCCAGCACTTATTTCTTTGATTTGCTCTGTTCTTGCAACCTGGATTTTGGAATCTCTTGAAAACATTGTAAAAATATGCCTCTAGTTCCTGCTAAGCAGACCTTGGGCACTTGTGAATGTCTGGGATAACTATATTTGCTGAAGCTGAACACCATAATTTGGAACATTTTGATATTCAAGTAGGTGTTTCAATTTGTTGAGTTGGATATCGTTTTTGGGAGAAAAACAAACGGACTAAAGGAGCACTGCGCCAAGACTTTGGGCATAAAAAGCCCTTCTGAGGCAGAAACGAGAAATGGTCATCCTTGTTATGAACCTACACTGTTTTTTGGCATTCCTCTACCTATGGAACACAAGATAATTCAGACAGAACTGAGGCTGAGGTACCCACCAATTGGAATATTAAAGGGCCTTGATAAAAGAAGCTGAGGAGAACGCTACCTCCAGGGCCCCCTGACATTAGTGATATAGACCAAGACCCATGTGTGCCAGAGACTGCCAAGATCAGTTTGGTCTCAAACTTCAGACATGGTGGCAGCAGTGTGTTTGAAGTGTGTTTTGAAGACGGCACTTTTGAAAAAGTGGGAGGACTTCCAGTCAAGGTATGTTGTATTCCTTTTGAGTTACTCAGTTTATATATGATCAGGATCTAGGGTAGAGTTTTTCCTGAGTTCATGTAAGTGTTGTTATAAAATCAAATTGGGGTGAGGGCCTGTTGACGGTATAGACAGACATTGTTGTATAGTACCTTCTTATTGGCTGAAAAGCACTTTATAAGGTGAGTTGAGATAGCCGTACCACATTGCCGGCTCTTCTACTGCAACACTGTGCAGCTGTATTTCTTATGCCCCACATCTTTTAGAGGTCACCTTTTTGATGGTATTGTTTAGGTACCACTTCTTTACATCTGTCTGTGGATAGTTGTTCCAAAGGCTGAAGTACCCTGCAGACTGCACACAATAGCTAGTTGAGTAAATCTACACATGCTCATTCACAGCGGTAAGCAGGATAGCTTATTTAAAATTTCAAAATTCTCAAACGTGGACAGTGCCCCCATAGTAGGATTATTGTAGCAAACTACATACTGGGTATTGTGCCCCTCAATATGTATGTCATACTTGTCCATACTCCAGGGCATGACGTGTGTAGTTTCATAGTTGGTAGTGTCGGAAGGGACCTGAGCAGATCTAGTCCCACCCCCTGCCATGGCAGGAAAGAGTACTGGGGTCAAATGATCTAGCCTCCTCTTAAAGACCCCCAGGGTAGGAGCCAGCACCACTTCTCTTGGAAGTTGGCTCCAGATCCTAGCCGCCCTGACAGTGAAGTAGCGCCTCCTGATATCTAGCCTGAATCTACCCTCTGCCAGCTTGTGACCGTTATTTCTAGTCACTGCTGGTAGTGCTCAGGGGAACAGGGACTCTCGCAATGCCTGCTGGTCCCCCCTGACTAATTTGTAAATGGCCACTA